GGGGGAGGGGGAGGAAAGTGTATTTTAATGTTCAAGTAAGACACTTCATCAAGCCAGAGGTAATAATGGTCTCTGAATGTTTTGTGCTTGTCTCTGGATCTTGTTCTGAAGGAGGGGGAAAGCAGAGTCAACAGGTTAAGAAAGAAAACATGCGCATAAGCATATATTTGTTTCTTTGCTTTCCTTACTGTTTCTGTTGTTGATCCAGCAAGATACTTACAAGGATTTGTAGTCCCTGTAATCGTGTACATTTACTCAAAATTTATGTTCCAATTTCATTGGTGTTAGAGTATGTTATTTCAACGTCTTTTTCTTTCCTCAGGCTCTCTAATAATTTACTGAATGAAACAAAATAATGTTATATGCAACATAAGGCTTCATCAGTAACAGAACATGAAAATAATTATTACAGCCACATGGCTCAGATGTTAGATAAACAGGGACTTCAGCATGTGCAGGCATATGCTGACAAGATCTATACAAACTGTTCATTTCCAAAAGATTAGAGAGACCAGAACTGTTTTAAAAAACAAAGAAATTAAAAGCAGAAAGTTGGACTTTTAGGAGCTTGGTCATGAATTTCTAAACCTTATAAGCAGGTGAAATAGGAAGTTGCTTTATTTTAATAGAGGATTCATTTAAAACACATATTTAGGGGTTTTTTTTTAGTATCTGATATACTGAGCTATAAACGTGAATACATCTTAGTCCAATTTTGTTCAAGGAATTGTATAAAAAAAATTTAGATAGATGTTTAATGAAACTGCTGAGAATTAAAGCAAAAAACCCCACATCTTGCCAATTAAGGAAGACCAGGAAAAATTCTGACCACAGGTTTTAACCAGAGCATAATGAAAGCTGTGCTGAAATTTGCATTAGTCTATAGATGCAGTCTTTCCTGGGGACTGAATGTTGATACAGAATACTGATACCATAATATTGATACATCACAAAACTGTTAAGGTTGTGGTATCATGATACAAAGTCTCTGCCAATGCCTTATATTTTCTTTGCATATCTCTTACACTGCTCTCACTGGCTTCATACTGCAAAGGTGTTGGTCTCTACGTTGGTCTGCGTTCTCTACAGTCATCCTGATGCTGTCAGAACTTAGGTACCTCAAATTGCAAGCTTGAACACTGTATTAATACAGCTAATGGCACAGTTACATATGCCATAGACCTTTTTCAGAGGTCTTCTCTTTCTTTCCTGTGCCTTGTTAAAGGCTGCCTCCTTACAGTACAATACCCAGGAGAAAGCAACGGAAGAGCCTCTGTACCAAAGCATGTAGCCAGCCCCGCAATACAGAGCAATAGAGCAGGGCTTGATTTTGATGCAGTGCCTATTCAGCATCAGCTACTTGCAGCAGTCGTCTGGATTTTGCAGTTATGAGTCAGACTAGGGTGAAGACTTTCCAAAGAGTGTATATTTTCTACTTTTTTCAAAGAAAAAAGTACAGGTCCAGGATGAGATGATTTATAATCTGAGATGATGGTTTTTGTGATCTTGAACAAATCATTTGCCCTCAGTGTCTCAAACAGCCTAGCATGATATGGGCATGCAGAAGTGTGTCTCTGCTAACCCAAGATGCTGTATCTGTGATGAGGTGAATTTGTAAGAGTAAGGTCATAATCACCTACCTACAACCCCACAACAATCCTTTTATTGAAATGAATCTATTCTTAAATAAGCTGCTTCAAGTGCGCTTTGGGGTGAGAAGCACACTGTAAGCGCTGCAGTTCTCTTGATAGTGTTCTGAACCTTGCCTGCAAATAGGAACAAGGTATTTTCTCTTAAAAAGACACAATAGAATAGCATTTCATCTTAAATATCACATTTACAGATTGGAGGTAGATTTTGTTGAATTTGTAAGAACTCCAGGTTGTTACATAGATAAGATAATATAACAGATGATCCTTTTTCCGCTACACAATTTAATTTCAAGTGCCCTGCTTTGATTTGTGTTCAGGTTTCCCGGATCCTGTGATTTAGGGTGTTTCAACTGTTTGAAATCTTCTTTTCACTGGAGCTTAGAAAATATTCAAGAGAGCAGCCTAAATTTTTAACGAAGAGCTGTACTCTGGGCCTACTGTAGTTGCTACCCGCTGGTAGCTCAAGTATAAAAGCATTGTTTGAGTGGTGTGGGGCTGGCATGGCTGGCATTGATGTTGCCCTGGACAACATTTGGGGCATGTCAGACACGCTTCCCGAAGCACTGCTGTTCTGCAGTGAGCCTCAGCTTGCTCTCTCTGCCTGGCCCAGGAGTGCTTCATGTAACAGAGTTGTAGCTGAGGATCTGACCTTCTACTCCGTCTTGACTTTGCATTAGAAAACAAAAGTACAGTCACTCAAAGAAAGAATAAAATAAAACCATCATAAAGAACAACATTAAAAGTGAGAGGGAAAGCATGACATTCTCTCGCTCTGTACAGGACTCCATCATTCCAGTCCATAAGGTACACAGTTACGTGCAAGAGTACAGGCAAGTAGTACAGTAGAGAAGCAAGGTGACTGTAGCTACACTGACCCAGCAAATGGTATGTTCCACTCTTCTTGCCTAAATTTGGTGGAGAGGTGGTAAGCAGGCGATAGTTCCCTGGAAGAAGTTTCAACTGTCTGCATACCTAGAAGTGGTGAAGCCGAGCTGCTTCTCGCTTTTACCTGCCTGGGACATGTAACTGTGAAGATGTGGTTGTTCAGCACGGGCTCACTCACCCGGAGTACGGATGCACTCAAGTTCTCCTGAAGCAACCAAAGTCCATTTAATCATGTTCTCTTTGTCATTTTGATCATGATATTATTATCAAGGATTATCATTTTGTTATCTATTGTTAACAAAACATAAACAAGTGTGTCTGATCTTACTTAGCTTTATGTTTTCATTTGCTTTAATTACCTAGAGAAGATAAGTGGTTTCCTTTTTTTCATTACATAGCCAACTAGAAAATTTTTGTTTATTGTTTTGAAATATTTACAGAAAAGTACCGGTTGCAGTTAAGAACATTGACCATGGTGGTATATCTGCTGTCTCCATAGTTCACATAAAAGATTGTTTAAGAACACCACCCCCCAACCCCCCCCATTATGTTGCTGGCCAGCATGTTTCTGGAGGTCCTTAATTGCTCTAGTTACTTCATTTTCACTCCAGCTTGTCTGCACATGTGCTTTACACCTTTGAAGGAGAAAAGAGCTTTTGGAAGTGTTACAGAACTTGCAATAGGTGGGAAGACTGTGAACATTATTGCAGAACTGATAATAGGTTTTTAGGTGTGGATTAGAAAGGGCGTGAGAAACGCCAGGCCTTTTTGTTTGTTTCCTTGCGCTTCTGCATAAAGGGAAAAAACATTAAGGCAAAGTGAATGTATTGCTTTGGTATTCATCTGTGTTAGTTACATTCTTGTACTACCTAGAAGAAAAATGTGAGCTACTCTAATTTATCATTGTATAGCTATACATTTAAAAGAAGGCTTTTAAAACTGGATTTTTCTTTCTTTCTGTGGTTTCTGCATTACAGTGCTCTTATGTGCAGTGATTCATGTCTGATTATTTAAAAACTAAAAGCTGAGTTTAAGGAAAGGAATTTTATAAGCTTCTGATTTTAAATTAGTGTTTAAACGAAGCATTAGAATGACAGAGTTCACATGGTTGATTATATTAAACTGGTTCCTTTTTTATTTTTTCTCAGCACTCTATTTTCAGAGCAAGAAAGTAACTATTTCTTCATAAACATTAACTGAAAGACACAGCAAATGATGGGAAGAGAAGAATTACAGTAATAGTAAGAGAGTATCCAAACAAGGTTATTTTTTTTTTCTCCATGTGTAAGAACATTCCTAGACACAGAGACATTTGGTACAGATTACTGTGCTTGCTGCAGGCTGTTTGAGATCTGATATTTTGAGCAGTATAAACTATTTATTATTATTATAGGCATTGTAATAATTGATTGGCCTGGAAGCACAAAACCAATAATTATTTTTGGCAATGGTATGTCACTTACATTGGTCAGACATTTGTCATTCCAGCAGCTCTTCTGTTAAAAAAAAATAAGCACATGCTTACATGTGCATATTCTCATTGATCCGTTATTTGCAATCCTTCCTTCACAGCTCACCTACAGTTATTGCAGTTGCTGCCGAATGTTTCAAAAAAGTCCATGAATCTCTACAAGAGTTGGAAAATGGAAAGGTTTTTTTGGTCTTGAGATCTTACCTTTGGTACTGTGTTGTTAGAAATTAAAAGACACAATGGCAATATGTTTTTATCCTAGCTGTGTTGTGGATGAGATGGACTTCTCAACAATGGAACTGGATGAAGCACTCAGGAAATTTCAGGCTCATATCCGTGTTCAAGGAGAAGCCCAGAAAGTAGAACGACTCATTGAAGCTTTTAGGTATGATGCTGAAATGTATTGCTCAGTCACCTGAAACCTGCTGTTGTCTAGCGATCAAACTGGAGAGCTGGGGAAGTTGAGTATATCTAAGTTACTTCCCTGCTTACTTGCAGTGTCTGTGTGAGCTACATACAGTTTCAAATATAGTACATTGTTTGTGCTTTTGCCAAGTATGAAATAGGATGTTTTATTTGCTGGTGCCGTTCACGTATGTCATTTGTGTTAACATAGCGAGATTTCTTAACTAAAAATTCTTTCTGGCATCAGCTGAAAAGATATTCAAGGATTTTTTTTTAATGTCTCTGACAATGTATTTGGATATAATAGTTTATAAGAGTGGAATTATAAGACCATTTACATTTTAGAGTATACATGCTGTCAACCTGTCATTAAGCATTTCAACAATAGTGGAATAAAGAGCATTAACTTATTAATACTAACACAAGCATACTTTATCCAGGGCAGGATGAGATGTAAATCATCATGTGGCAGCACGCTAAAATCAATGCTGTATTCTTACGTGGTGTTGATGGTTATTCCTCACTGAAAAAAATGAAATACTGAAGCTGTTGTAGCTCAGAATCTGTACTAAGAAATGAAGTTACAGTGGTAGTAGAATACAAAAGCCTTCCACATTCTAGGATTGGCTTATGAAAATACGTGAACAGAAAGCTAAATATATGTATGGAACGCAAATAATAGCTTGCTCAGCATCTGGAATGTAGCAGCTGGTTTATTTGGTAGAATTAGAATAGTAATTCATAGCTCTGACAGCTTCCCCTCTTTGCTTTTTTACAGCCAACGATACTGTATCTGCAATCCAGGTGTTGTGAGACAATTTAGAAATCCTGATACCATCTTCATTCTAGCTTTTGCCATCATACTGTTAAACACAGATATGTACAGCCCAAATGTGAAACCAGAACGCAAAATGAAGCTAGAAGATTTTGTGAAGAATCTAAGGGGTAAGCAAGCTCTCACGATGAAGGTCATGAAAGCTTTTCCCTGTAACTGTCAGTGGAGGGACACCATGTATCTTCTGGGAAAAAGGCAAAACACAGGGCGCTTCATTCTGATTTCACCGGACTTAAAACTACTGTCATTTTTAAAGGCTTTAGTTATTTCTGGAATAATAAAACAGAACTAAGTATATAGTATTTTGTCATTTTTATCTTGTCTTTCTTGACTGGATGTATTGTCATGTGTTTTTATTCCCATATATGTATATATATTAAGGAACAGAAATCACTATGCCATGGTGAGAACTTTTGGAAATAAACTAAAGATTTAAATTCTTGGTGGGGGGGAAAAAGAATCCCAACTCCAGAACCTTCCAGAAAGGTACACGGTAAATAGCACAGAAATTTCATTTTGATTTCTTCATTGGTATATTTTGTGATCAAGAAACTATTTGCCAGGCTATGGCACACCCAAGACTGGAATTAGATTGCCAAAAAAATACAGAGTTTTTTCAAATCTGTATCTGAGATCTTTCTATCCTAGTTTTTTCTGGTGAAAAAGAACCGATTTTTATGAAGCATCAGCTGCCAGCGTTCAGCTCTGCCCAAAAGGCAGTAGTCACTGAGGAGGAAGATTGTGCGTGAGGGGATGATACCTCCTGTTGTTCCTGGGCACTCAAGGAAGAACGGATCAGACAGCATTTACCTTTTAGCACAGAAGAGCTCTCAGATGTTAGAGGAATAAGATGAGGCAGAAGTCCCCATCCCTTTTTTCCCTTTACGATAGTCTGTGTCTGCAGGGAAAAAGCAGCTTTTACTATAGTTCCATTACTGTGTGTTTGTGCAAAGGCCAGGAAAATTGCCTGCTCAGTCATTGCAACCCTCTCCTCCTCCTCCCTCTGCTTTTAAGCACAGAATCAGCACAACTTAGTGCGCGGTCTCTCTTCTTTTGGCAACGCTGGATGCAGCAGAATAGGCCTGCTGCTGCAGGCACCAGCAAGTACTGATGTGTAGTTTAACAGCCATTTTCTCAGTTATAGCTAAAAGTGGGTTGAATGGCAGAAAGACAGAATCAAGTTGCTTAACATAGAAAAATATACTGGCATTTCTCAGACACATGGCAGTTTGTATTCATGTGCGCATGTGGTACTTCCATTTCAGTACTGGCAAAAACAAAATACTTGTGGTGTTCTGGAATTTCAGATCTTGAAAATTAAAGTCCTATTTGGTGATTTTATTCCCTTAGATTTTTATAAGACAGCAGTGAGCCTTAAAAAAGGTCTGATATTGATCTCTTAGCATAATACTACAGTTATATTTGGTTTATTAAATACAGTACATTCTCTCTGAGCTCCAGCCCGAATGCCAGCAATTTCTTTTTATCGTAGGCATTTTTATTACAGGCTACCTCTCCTGTAACTTGAAATGGCTGGATCGCAGAGGGTGGTCTGTGGAAGACTTGCTGGTGTGGAATAGAACAGAGGTGGTTTTTCTTGCTTGTAGTTGCAAAGAAACTGTATTTTATCACAGTATTTTTTTATGTGAGCAGTTGTTCCACTGGCTGACAAAATAGCCCATTTTCGCTTCTGAATGGAAGATAAGAGTTTATTGCTTTAAAACCTGTCCCCAGGAAATCCAGCTTTAAGTCACTTATTGAAATTGGACTCCTTCCACTGCTATTAAAAATTCAGGATCAAGCATTCGAGACACTGTGACATTTGTTAGAATACTGACACACAGTGCTAAAAAATAATACTGTAACTAGGCGATTTTGTTCATTTGTTTTTCCAGAGTAAATTAACTGGTTTTGAAATCATACAGGAAATATTGATTGAATTAATTTTACTGGATGTTCATAAGGTCCTCTTGCAGGAAATTTGTTATGAACAGTGTTGAGTAATATTGGGACAGAGGCAAAATGGAATGGTTGTTCTGCTTCCTCCAAGCGGTATACTCCTAGGAGGAGGTCACATGGAGATTATAGTGTCTAAGGCGTTAACTCATTGGAGCTTTGATACCAAACAGAAGAAATTTAGGGGAGAAAAAAAAGAAGAATTTACATAGGAAATTAACCGTTTTATGGCTTAGTTTTAGATTAGAGTTTTAAAACAAAAAAACAAAGCTGTGTAATTTCCATCAATGTCTCGGCATGCTGGGGGCAGCAAGCTTTTGGACAAAAACCAGAGCTTCAGTAAGGAGTAATATAACTTCTGCTGCTTTGGTAAGGTAGGTGCATAGGAGATGTTAGGTGACAGAGTACTGGCAGCTATAAAACAAAGCAGCATAAACAAGTACATCAGCAGTCTCAGACAACATGGGCATTACCATCTGCAGAGGGAATGAAGGTTGCTCTTGTCTTTGTCCTCTCCCTGCTGAGAAGCCTGCGTTGCTGAGGAAGAACAGTGGGGTTTAGATCATTCAGATCCAGACTGATAATAAAACTGTTGCCTTCTGCAGGTGTGGATGATGGTGAGGATATCCCACGAGAAATGCTGATTGGGATTTATGAGCGAATCCGCAAACGGGAACTGAAGACGAATGAGGATCATGTATCCCAAGTCCAGAAGGTTGAAAAACTCATAGTAGGAAAGAAACCGGTAAGTTCACTCTGCACTGCCTGTCAGTTACTAGGGAGATGTAGGGCAATGTACAGTATAGAACAGCACCAAAGTGTCTTGCTTAGAAGTATAAATTGGTTGATAAATGACAAAAGGCAGAAACCGTCAAAATAACAATTTGGTGTAAGGTTGGGATAATTCTGGAGTATTCACAGTGCAGATGATTTTTGTTGCAGTGTGGTATTCGTGAGCGATGATGTTATGAGTCTTAAACTCTTTTCTCTATGTGAAGCTTTACAATTCGGAAATTGCACTGAAATATCTGGATTTTAGGCAGTTGTCATGTTTTTTTCAAGAGAATTGAAGTGTTGTGTTAAAATGATGTTGTAGAGAATCATATTTCAACATTTACTCTATCAGTTATGGCTCCATAATTTACAAGAGTAACAGAGAGCAACGGTGCACGTCAGCATCTTTCTCAGCTTTGTAGCTAGCTCTCTGAGCTGGTGTTTGTAAGGAGAGATTGTGCCATTTTGTCTCAGAACTTACCTGGAAATCAGGTCCCAGCAGTTCTAATGCTGGGTTTGAGCATTCCAAAGATAACTCTTGCTTTGTTGTGGAAAACATCCTGAAATACTTTGCTATAAATTAATCTGCAAAGCATCTCTTGGAAAAGGAGAGAGAAAAGGAAGGCTACGGCATTTTCTCCTTTGTTGTAGAAGCTGAGTGAACACAGAGCTATTAAGACCAGTATTTCACATGCTAACAATGGTATCTAGTGTGGAGAGGGACAATGGATATTCGGCCTTCCTGAATTCAAGTCCTAGAGTCATCTTTGGAAAATCTTGTGTTAGTAGTCACAAAGGAAGCCCAGAACAAAGCCAAAAAAAGAGTAGACTTGTATGTTTTTAAGTCCTGCGTCAGTTTTTTATCAACTCTGGGGAGCTTTACTGCATCAGGGACTGATGGGTTGGGACATTTTTTTATTAAGAGGAGGAGCATGGATCTCAAGATTCTCCCTATTACTTCTAAAGAGCTTTGAATTGTAATCTCTTCTCAGAGAAGCCTCCACATGGGGAGAGGGGGAAGGCAATGAGGGATCACTAAAGAAAAAATCAAATCTAAGTCACTTCTGTTTCCCAGTAAGGAAATATTGAGGAGATCTCTCGGAAGAAGCAGAGGAGAGAGAAAGCAAAACTTTCATAACAAAAGCTTTTACATAGTTTTGAGGAGAAAGGAAATAAATATTCTAAAGTCAGTATTTGATAGTCACTTCTGCTTTCATACAAAACTTATTTCCCCTAGTTGTTTGGGGATTTAGGTTTATATATAGGCTTCTGTGGGAGATGGGGTTTTTTATGGTTCTTTTTTTATTCAGGCATGTGGCAGTCCAAACCCTAAAACTAATCCTGACCTAGTAAATTAAATGGGATTGAGAAAACAATGCCTTCAATGGAGTTCTAGGTTCAAGGATTCTTCTGCTGAGTGACTTTTTATCTGTGTGAAAGAAAATTTAGGAAACCACCAACAGTCTTTATTGATAGAAATATTTGTTTTTACTTTATAGGCATTTAGTCATAGTAAGACCATGACGTATTTACTTGCTATGATACAGTACTGTGTTTCTCTGAAGTTTAATGAACTTGTATATGTCTTTCTACTTTAGATTGGATCTCTGCATCATGGACTTGGTTGTGTAGGTATTTCTCTCATACTCCTTCAAAACTTATAGTCGTTTTAACTGGCATTTTCTTAAACTGGCAATAGTGCATTCTATTACATTTTAATTTTTAAAAAATTTTGGCTTCTTTCAAGCAAAATTTTCCTACTGTTGTAGTAATAACTCTCCAAAGTATAAAGATTTCCTTAAAATATATTTACCTGAGACTGCTTAATTTATTTGCAAGAGTTTTCTGGATTTTCTTTTACTACACTTTTTATGCATTTCAAATGCTAGTATCACCGTATAAATTAGCCAGCCAGTAAAGAATAAACAACTAAGTAAAATTACGGTTGCACTTCACCGTTCCACCTAGATCCTAGTGTGTTCATTATTTCTGGTCCATTTCAGTATTGAATGATACTCTAGAAATATATTGCCAGTTAATTTAACAGTTCTCTTCTGAAATGTAGATGAACATATGAAATACTGATTCCAGATTTAAGTTACAGGCATATTCAATAATAATCCTAAAACTATTCTTCTAAGGCAGTGTTCCACTTACTTTAATGTCATGATAATGTTATTGCTATTAGTTTTGAACAAAGAAACCACTTCACAACAGAGGAGTGCACGTAGTGCTCTGAAATCTGATTTACTTCTACAAATTTGATCATGATGATTTTTTTTTTCCTCAGTTATAATTGCACTGTGCATTAGCATCTTCACTCAGGGCAATTCAGAGAAGGATTTTTAAAATTTGGGGGTTTTTGGTCTTCTTTTTCTTGCTTTTTCTGTTGAAACAATTAAAACCATGCAAAGCTAGCTTCATATTCCAAAGTGAAATACCTATCATTGTTCCATGGATGCATGTCTGGCAGTACCATTGGACTGTACAAACAAACGGAAAGATGTGACCTTTATGAAATATGGAAGAAGGGAATCTTACTGGATCATCTGTTGCTATGAGTGAAAGCACTGTCTATAGTTAAATTCCAATACCACAGCTCGCTGTGGTTGTTTCCAAGTTCATAGGCTCAGTGACTGCCCTTGGGTTTTGTTATCTTGCTGTAGCACATCTCAGACTGCCATGTGCTGGGGAAACTAAGTCTGGAGGTAGGAGAGAATGAGAACATGAAACATTTATTCCTGCCTCTCTTCACTGAGAACCTGTGTAAGCTGTTCAGTTACCAGAATAGCCTGAAAATAGAAACCATTGATTCTCCAGCATTCCTCACCACAGTGGCTCCTTTAGAACATGTCAGACTTTTTCTTAAATGTGTTCTTCTTGCAAGTTCAGGGAGGATAATTAAGCTAATGCCCCTCCTGCTCATGTAGAGGAAGAAGAAGAGGGTGGTGAGGCCCTGGCCCCGGCTGCCCAGAGAAGCTGTGGCTGCCCCCTCCCTGGCAGGGCAGGGCTCTGAGCACCCTGGGCGGGTGGGATGGGTCGCTGCTCATGGCAGGGGGTTGGAACTGGATGAGCTATAAGATCCCTTCCAACCCAAACCACTCTATGACTTGAACAGTCTGTTTTTCTTTGCCTAGTGAATCTCCTAATTCCCATGCAGAATCATGAATTATAAAGAAATATAATATATAAATGAAATATATGTCTAGTTACAAAGAATATTCTCTACTTCTATTTTTTAAAGTTTAAAGGACTTCTACTAATATTGTTGACAAGATACCATCATTTGCATTTGAGAGAAATGAAGTCTCACTAGGTTGAAAACAGCAGATTCAGAAATAACTTCAGAAGACATTTCAAATAAGAAAATGGAAAATTATTCTTGGTTTTCTTGCCGGCATGAGAAAAATAAGCCAGACTGAAAATGCATTTACTTTTTCCTGATGTCACCATTTCCTTGGTAGTGGGGAATGAACAAATTGAATTAACTCAGTGGCCGACAAAACGTGGTCTGCAACGTCAGTGTATTCATCTCACAAAAGCTAAAGTTGCTTTGCGTCCTTCTTCTAATAAAGATATGTAAAAATGCTCAGGAAAGCAAACATGCTTTGCTTTGAGCTCCCACTTGATTAATCCTAAGTTCTTTCAAGGTTTTATCATTTCACAAAGTAAAACTCCGCCCCCAGTAAAACTTTCATTGGCGTCCATATGCAGGAATTTGTTACAGAATATTTTATATGAGAATTTTGATGACGTTTGGGTATCATGCAAGTTTGTGGCATAAAGCTCTTTATTTTTATGTTGTTGGTCCTTTAATGAAAAAGTCTAGTGGGCTTAAAGGTAAAAATATTTGAAGTATTCAAAAAAAGACTCTGGTTATGAAATATGCTCTTTCTTTAATATTGCTGTATTAACCATGAACTTTTGTATTGTCATAGGTCCTCTCTCTACCCCACCGGAGGCTTGTTTGCTACTGTAGGCTGTTTGAAGTTCCAGATCCCAATAAACCTCAGAAGCTTGGATTGCACCAGCGAGAAATATTTTTATTTAATGATCTTCTTGTGGTATGTACTTTCAGGTGGACAGACTTCTAGAAGGTATTCAGAAATGCCTTTCTCCATTAAATCAGTACCAATTAAGTCCATGAGGATTCCTAAAAATAAATATCTATTACGGGTTACTCTGTATTCCAACAATCTTGCATGATTAAGATTTAAATTTTCTTAATTTTCTTCATTATATATACACTGCTTTTAAACTGAAACCTTTTTATTGAATACTGCATTCTATTATAAGAAAATACTTTGATGCAATAGCTTTTACTATAAAGAACGAAAAGTACCTCCAGTTTACCTATTTGCCTAATGGATAATTGGAGACATTCTTTATTCCGTGAATAATGAATTCAAGTTACTTGTGGAAAAATAAAATCACATACTAGTTTGCATTCCCCAGACGTTCTATGATCCAGACATGTTTATTCATTGAAATAGGAATAGGATACGTTGGAATACATTCTACAGTTGACTTTACTTTTTGACGTACATTTAACTTGACCCAGTCTTTTGAAAAACAAACATACAAGTCCAGTGACAGCTTGGAATTATTTGGTTGATTTAAAAATAGGAAAATTTGTTGCACTTTATTTAGAATGTATTCAGCTGTTACCTGAAAACAAAGAACTGAATTAAATACTTCATGTTTAGTTACGAAAAAGGCACACTTCAGATGCATGATTTTATTGTGTGCAATTTTTACATACCTCCAGACCTTAAAACCAGGAAGTAAATAAAAAAAAAAAATTAATCCTTTTGATTGTGAGTATAACCTCCTAGTTGTAAATGTGAACTTGGGTATAAAATGCTGGAACATTATTGTCTTTAGGTTGCGAGTTTTCTGTAATTTTTTATTACTTACTCAAATGTCAGTAGTTTTATCAAAATTTTGTGGAGTAATATAGACCAAATTTGTCAGTTCTAGTAAAATGCCATCGCCAAAAGTGAGAATTAGAAAGAACTAGGAAAAATAAACCTCTTGGTTATAAAGAGTGGTCGCAGTCACACTTTAGGAGAATCCCAAAATTGATGGTAAATAGTAGTATGTTACTTCTGTTGTAACAAGAAGTAAAGGTTTCCACAGACTGAGAGCTTTAATTGAGATAGGTGCTGTACAAGTCATAGGGAAAACAGGGCACCATTGGATGAGATGGCGTGAGACTGTACGTGGGGGTGCACAGGAGTGAAGCAGGCTTGGAAGGTTGCACAGCACGTAAGGATAAGGAAAAAGAATTAAACTTGTGTGGACGGGTCCATAGGCATGTCTTGTCTGTAGTCAGACCGTAAGAAAAAAGCATGAAGGAAAGTGCGGTAGCAGCAAAGTTTTTTAAAAAGGAAAACTTAAATGTATTTACGCTTGTCTGTAGTCAGACCGTAAGAAAAAAGTATGAAGGAAAGTGCGGTAGCAGCGAAGTTTTTTAAAACGAAAAACTTAAATGTATTTACATTTTTGCTAGCATGTACATTTTTTTCTATCAGGAATTTCAAGAAGTAGAGTTCTGGAGAATAGGAAACACGAACGCTTTGTGTCTGGATAAAACATTAAGCCTTCTGGTAAAGAGATACGAGTGTTTCAAAGCTAGCTTTGTTAAATACATCAGTTACAATTAAAAAAAAAAATAGTAGTTCATCTTTTCTGGCAGATTATAGCTTTCTTTGCCATAAAGTGTTTTCTCATATGCTAATTCTTAAGAACAGTAATTTTCCACAAACACATATGGTAAAAAGGATGCTTAATTTTGTTTATTTGATAACTTTCAGGTGACCAAGATTTTTCAAAAGAAGAAGAACTCAGTCACATACAGTTTTCGACAGTCCTTTTCCCTCTATGGAATGCAAGTTCTTCTTTTTGAGAACCAGTGTAAGTCTTTGCTCTCTGTTTGGATGACCATTTTATTTATAAATAAAATAAAAACTTGTGTGAGTGAAAGGGATGGACAAGACTTGATTCTGAATTTAGGAATAAACTTAGCCCAAATCTAGCCAAACATGTTTGTGAATGCTTCTAAAGAACAGAATCACAGAATGGTAGGGGTTGGCAGGGACCTCTGTGGGTCATCTAGTCCAACCCCTCTGCCGAAGCAGGGTCACCTACAGTAGGTTGTAGAGGACCTTGTCCAGGCGGGTCTTGAATATCTCCAGAGAAGGAGACTCCACCACCTCCCTGGGCAGCCTGGGCCAGGGCTCCGTCACCCTCAGAGGGAAGAAGTTCTTCCTCATGTTCAGCTGGAACTTCCTCTTCTTCAGTTTGTGCCCGTTGCCCCTTGTCCTGTCGCTGGGCACCACTGAAAAGAGCTTGGCCCCATCCTCCTAACACCCACCCTTCAGATATTTGTAAGCATTTTTAAGGTCCCCTCTCAGCCTTCTCTTCTCCAGGCTGAACAAGCCCAGCTCCTTCAGCCTCTCCTCATAGGAGAGATGTTCCAGTCCTCTCACCATCCTCATAGCCCTCTGCTGGCCTCTCTCCACTAGC